AACTCCAGTTCCAGGGGATCCAACACCTCATACAAGCAAAACTCTAATGTTCATGAAATAAAAATAAATAAATCATTGAAAAAAAGTCATTGTAGGCTGTAAAGATGGCTCTGTGGTTAAGCGCACTCGTTGCTCTTCTGGAGGACAGGGTTCAATTCCCAGCACCCACTGGCAGCTCACAACTGTCTCTAACTCCAGGGCCTCTGACACCCTCACTCAGACACACATGCAGGCAAAACACCAATGTACAAAAATAAATAAATTTACTTAAAAAAACATTTTGTAGTTACTTCTGTTTAAACTGATGCGTGGCACAGAACAAAATAATTCATGTTTTTTAAAATACATGCCTTCTTCCTCTGCATTTCCAGTTCTCTTCCTAAGTATTTGTAGCTGTTGTAAGAATTGAATGTAGTGGACTGTAGGAGACTTTCACCAGCGATTGTGGATGCGCATGACTGGCTGCTTTAAGTTTCTTTGTCCTTGGCTTCTCTGCCAAAATGAACTGTAATCTGGAATTGTAAACTCACATAAATCCTTTCTCCCTTTAAGGTTGCTCTTTGCCACGCTGTTTTAACACAGCAACGGAAATGAAGCAAAAATACCCTGTTGGGCAGGAAATAGCCCTATCTGACTAACGTTATCTCTGGCATTGTGAGGACATGCTACCCCTGTTCCCACTAAACTCTTGGGCTTTGGTTTTCAGCAACAAAATTAACCCTAGAGCCGTGCAGTATGTGCTGTATTGCTGGTTTTCTACCATTATGATCTATTTACTTTTCTGGTTCATTATACCCAAATTGCTTTCAAGTTTTCCCTGTTCATTTGCTAAAGACAGCCCTATCTCCAAGAGAATAAAGATTTTCCCTTGAGGATTGGTTCCACAGGCCCACCCCAGCCTCTTCATACTTTAAACTTGAATGACAGTTTGGGGGTGGGAGGGTCATTGAGAGACAGTCTTAGCTACATGGCCTAGCCTGGCCTCAAACTCGCAGAGGTGCGCCTGCCTCCGCCTCTCGAGTGCCAGCAAAGTTGTGAGGCAGGTAGATTTTTTCGTTTGTTTAGACTGGGGGTTGGGCCAGGTCTGCGGACATACTAAGCACACTCTACGACTGACCTACGTCACCTGAAGGCCATTTAAGACAAAAGCCAGACTATCCGGATGAGCAGCCCCTTCTCTGAACCCAGTCTCTGTTTCTCTCTTCCTTTCTCTCTCTCTCTTCCTCTCCCCTTCTTCTCTCCCCCCCACAAGCTTTTAAATGACCAAGAAATGCTTATATCAGGGAATAACATTTTAGTATTTTTTTTTCTTAATCCTGATAGAAAGCCACTTATGCCCAGTATGAGTAAGACTCAAACATCTAGAATACAAACCAGTGTTTCTGACTGTTTTGTGGCTGTGCTCAGATGCCCCCAAGGAAACCCGGGGTGAGCCCAGAAAACTGAGGGGAGCATACACTATCTGGTCTCTTCGAGGACTCAAAGTGGATAAGAGAGATGTTTCTAGTCTAAAGGCCCTGGTACTGGTCTCTACTTAGCATCTCTTAAATTAGATACCATGATGCAACATCAAAGATTAAAAATCATGAACTTTTGAAATAGGCTAATATTTTACTGAATACTTTTTGACCCAAATATAAGCTTGGTGAAGGAAAATTTTGGCTGAAGTATAAAACCTTAACCTCAAATACCATCCTACAACTAGACCTGTTTTGTAGAAATCAAAGAGAATGCTCAAAACTACCTGATGTACAGGCCTCTAACTGCTCTCTGCCAAGGTTGGAGGCTATACAAGGAATACCAAGCTCCACAGGACACACTAGAAGTAAAGGTTCCTGCAATAAATCCATTTCTCTGCCTTGGGCACGCCCCCTGGAAACAATGCTTGGTTGAACTCTAAAGGGTAATTAAAATTCATTTTCCTTTTTTCAACCAAAGACTCTTAAGAGCATAAGAGAAACTAGAAGGCTTGATCAAGGAGCTCCCAAACATCACCAGCCAACTGGTAACATATAGGACACATCCAAGTCTATTTTCTGTCTTAGTTCTCTTTGTCTTATGGAACTTCAAAACAAAACAAAAAAACTGATTTTTCTTTTTGTGTCCTACCTTTCCAAATGGGTAAAACTTTTTCTTACTCTAGGCCTACATTTTCCCCCCTCCCTGTGGAGAGATTATCCCTAACACTCACCCAAATAACTGTAGTAGCTTAAAAACTTTCAGTAATACAGAGAGCCTCAGGCTCTACCGACTTACTTTTGAGCCCTGCCTTCTCAGTGTTAAACAACCTGGAAGACACACTCTCAAATGACCACCATAGAATTTCCCATGGTAGTTGAGTAAAATACTTGTGGTCACTTAAATTAAATACCAACAAACAGCATTCAGAATATCTAGATAAACTTACTCGTGTATGATAAAAATGGCTATTAAGTCTTAAGATAAAACTAATATGTATTTTAAGGTAAATTGTAACATAACATTAAAAGACAACCATTGCCTATCTACTTGTGATCTTTCAGAAACAGGCTTTTCAAGTTTCTTATCACTTAGGCCTTGAAAAAGAAGAAAGGAACACCTATACACCTATCTGTTGGTTCCTGCTTAGCCTACTTACAACGTAACAATCAGCCTAGGCTGATTTTAAAGAATAAAAACCAACATGCTTTATTTATAATAAGGATAATATCTTTAAAACTACAGATCAAGATTAAGGATGGCTATAAAAGATTATATGATCATCAGTCTAATTTACAAATGATACAAAATCTTTGGTATTTTAAAATATCTTTGCTTTTCAGGGTGTATACGTATGTGTATGTGCTTGTGATTTTGCAGTGTTTACAGAATAATAGATTGGCTTATAATTAAATTGTCCTGCTAGTTATTCATTTTAATTAATGATGTAAAGTTTTAAAACAAAACAAAAAAATAAACAGTCTTCATTCTGTAGGCAGTCTAAAGAAGACTCGTGCTTCGAAAATAAACTAGCTGTAAGGGAATGTTGGCGTCTGCTCCAGGGTTCAGCTTCTCACAGTTGCCGTCATTGGCAAGATGATTCTCTAGGCTCTGCTATTAAAATTAAATTGAGGAAGTTATGTTCTCAGCTTTCCTTTTCTTTTTTATTCTATGTATGTATGTATGTATGTATGTATGTATGTATGTATGTATGTATGTATGTTTTTCTGAGACAGGGTTTCTCTGTGTAGCCCTGGCTGTCCTTGAACTCAGAGTTCTACCTGCCTCTGACTCCCAAGTTCTGGGATTCAAGGTAGGATCCACAACTGCCCAGTTGCTTTTAGCTTTCTTTAAATAATATATCTAAAATTATTTTAAGTTTTATAAAAATAATTTCAATAATTTATACTAAGCGTCTTAGGTTTCTAGTTAAGAATTTGAGGCCATGGTGGTGCACATTTATAATCCCAGCACTCGGGGAGGCAGAGGCAGGGGAATCTCTGTGAGTTCGAGGCCAACCTGGTCTACAAAGTGAGTCCAGGACAGCCAAGGCTACACAGAAAGAGAAACCCCTTTTGGAAAAGGAAAAGGAAAAGAAAAGAAATTTAGTCTTAACTCTGGTTTACTTAAAAATATGTTTTTGCCAACTCTGTTACATGACAACTAAATTTGAAAGCAAGGTTTGTTTTCTACACTTCATAACTGACCTTCTGGTCTTTAGTGGCCATACTTAAAGGCTTACACTAATGTAAACATGAAGACTAAAGGGTTTTAGTCTTTACATTACATAGGCCAGTATTTTAGCCCTCGCCCCAGCTCTTCTGAGTTCTGTGGGATGATGGAACACCTCTTAACCTACAGCTCTGGTGACTCACTTGTCCTCTTGATCCAGCGATTGGACTCAGAACCAGTGTACTTTCTACAAACAAGATGGTCAACACAGAAGAAAATGTCTCTGTGTCTTCCATGGGAAACCACATAGTCAGCAAGGCCTTCACCCACACCAGCTGATAACAGAAATAATAAAGGGAAACTAAAGGAGCTCAGGGTGCCTCCCAAGTACCAAGTATTCCCTGTAGACCAGACCCTTGCCTGGTCTTAACAGTTAAAAAAATTAATTTGAGGCTATTTATATTTGCTTATACATATTCAACAGAAAAGTAGAAACAAAAACATTAACATTATTGTTAATAAAAAACTAGATTTTAAAAGAAACAGTAGTTTAGGTCTTCTACAGGCCTTCCCATTAAGTCCTGTATGTGGGCTGCTAGCATTCCAGATAGCATTGGCTGTAGCTATAATACAGAGTTCTATTTATATGAGTCTAATTAGATAGTGTTTTTTGTTTTTTGTTTTTTTTTTTTTTCTTTGAGACAGGGTACAGGGTTTCTCTGTGTATCCCTGGCTGTCTGCCCTAGACTTGTTTTGTATAGCAGGCTCTCCTGGAACTCACAGAGATCCTGCTGCCTCTGCCTCCTAGGGTTGGAATTAAAGGTGGCCCTGAAGCTGGGCTACCACGCCTGGCCCCTCTGAGAATCTTCTTAGCACTGATTCACTGATAAGCCTTTTTTTAGGCTTCTTTGTGTCCTAGGATTCTCTAGAGGAAATGTCTCAGCTGGTCTTTAGTATACTCTAATCCCAGAGAAGTAGGCTCTATTGCCAGGGAAAGAATGGACTTGATAAGGAGAGAGAGGGCAAGCAGGCCAAGAGCGTGGTCTCTATGTAAGGCTGCCAGTAGAAGGCGTTGTACAGATTAAAGGTGCATCTTCCCGCCTCAGATCCAGATTACAGGTGGGTCTTTCTATTTCAAATAATTTAATTCAGCAAAATCCCTCGCAGGTGTGCCTGGCCACTTGGTTTTTAGTTAGGTTGTCAGGATGACAGCCAAGAATAGCCACCACTCTTCTTTAGCACACTTCTGTTAAAAAGCAAAGGCCACCGAGTCCTCAGATTCTGGCCCTTGACTAATCTGAAAATTAAAAAAATCATAATTTCCTTGTTGCTGACTGATTTTAATCAGTGGCTTATATTTTTTATTTAAGATCTTAGCAAAGCTATGTCTCAAGATGGTGCTTCTCAGTTCCAAGAAGTCATTCTCCAAGAACTAGAATTATCTGTGAAGAAGGAATTAGAGAAAATACTCAGCACTGCAACATCCCATGAGTCTGAGGTAAGGACTTTGTGTTTCTTTGGTTGTGTGTCAGCATGGTAACTGCTGCCAGGGTTGATTCTCCAGTCTGAGATAAGCGGGGACACACTGTCACAAAGTTAGCGTTGTTGGGCAGCCAAGGAGCTCTTAACATTCGCACATAGTAAGACTACTGTCTTTCCTTTTTTTTTTTTTCCTCCATACTGGGGTACTTTCTGAAGTCACCAAAAGAATATGGTCAGAATTATACTTTATTTTATGTCTTAATATCGTTGGTTACTGTGTTTAGTAGGAGTTAGTTTACCAGCCGTGTGCGCTATGCCTCTTGCCCATTGCCATCAGGGCTGTGCTGCTGTAACAACTACCATAGGAGTTTTCCACAACTGAGAAGCTCTGCTTTGCTTTTAGCACATTTTCTTTTATTTTCAGTTTGGTTTCTACATGCTATTTTGAGGTTAGTCATGTTTCATTCCCTTTTTTCTTTTGTGACAATTTATTTCAATACTTCTGAGTAGAAGTATTGAAAGGTATTGGCATGAAATAGAGAACATGTTGAAATTGATAGGAACCAAATACTGCTCAGGTTACATGATAATCGACGACCAGGTGATAGGGGACAGTTTGGCTGTATGTTAAAGGACTGCATTAAACAGAGCTCCATTATTAGCTTATCTACTTCAGTTTCAAACAGGCCTTAAAAATTGACCCTACGCTGTAGTCTCATAGTGTAAGAATTTCAGGTAAAAGTATTTTCAAAGTATAGTTTATATCTAGTTTTACCACATATTAAACATTACGCTGTTTATAACAACTGCTTCTATTTCATAGCACACTAAAAAAGATCTTGATGGATTTCGGAAGCTATTTCATAGATTTTTGCAAGAAAAAGGACCCTCTGTAGACTGGGGTAAAATCCAGAGACCTCCAGAAGATTCGGTAAGTTTTAAGTAAAATGCAAGAAAATTTAAGGTAATTTGGGATGTCAGTTTAACTTTTTTGGTGGTGTGTGAGGACTTAACAGAACCATCCAAGCAAACACTGCTTTCGGCCTGTAGTTCTTCATGCTGGATGGAGAGGCAGCCTTCAGCTGTCTCTCTCTCTCAGACCATTTAGTGCCCTGCAGAGGACTTCTCCAAGCCTGATCTCCCTGCAATACTGTCCCATTTTTAATGGGTCATTAGATGAAAATCTACTTTAGTACAAAACATACCATAAGAGTTTCTTGTTGTTCTCCCTTTCAACTGTTAGATTTCTTACTGCCTGAAACATCGTTCAGGCATTTAAACTTAAGCTTTAAATTTAAATTTAAGCTTTTAAAGCTCTCTCAATGCTTTTAGGCCATCTCTAACTCTGCCTTGTGCCAACCAGCCTAGCATTCCTTCCGTTTTCCTCCCCACTTCTAGATTTCTACATAGATTCTTTTCTTGAAGTGGTGTGGGGTCTCCACCTGTCAGTCCTGTGTGTTCGAGGCGGCACAGTCCCCGTGCCTGCACCTGCCATTGGCCTCTAGAAGAAAGCCCCACTGAGGAGGTAGAGGGTACTATGAAATGTTTAAATCTGAGCTTGATTGCTTTGTTTTTTGTAAAATGAGAACAGTACCAGCTGTTTTGTGTACTTTGCAGGGATTTGTGAAGCTTTGTTAAGATGATAGATGTAAACAGATTATCTTACCTTGAAGCATTGTGTATAGTTGATGTTTTTGCCATGTGTGGTGTTCATGTCTATGTATCTATAATCTTATTCAACAGGTTTTTTTAAAATTATTTTATTCACTTATGTCCTTGTTGTAGCTTATCGCTCCTTCCCTCCCAGCCCCCTCCTTCGCTCTCACTCAGAAAAGGGGAGCTCTTTTTCCCATCTAGCCCAGCTCGTCAGGTTGCATCAGGACTGAGCATGTCCTTTTCCCCAGTGGCCTGGCATGGCAGTCCTACCAGGGGGAAGTGATCAGAAAGCAAGCAGCTGAGTCCATGTGCGATGCAGTCCTCACTTCCCTTCCTAGAGGACCGGCATGAGGCCGGAGGCGTCCACCCACTACCTCCTTGTACGAGGCCTAGGTCCAGTTCCTGCATGGTCCTTGGTGGATGCTTCAGTCTCAGCAAGCCCCTCTGGGCCCTGATTCTGTGTAAACTAACTGAAGTCTGGTTCCAGTGTATTAAAGTTTGCTGGATTCAGGCCGCTCACCCCAGCTGGCTGTAACAGTTTAAACAGAGTCAACTTTTTTTTAATTTAAATTTTTTTTTAATATATTAATTACAGTTTATCCATTTTGTACTCCAGCTGTAGCCCCCTCCTTTCCTTCCCCATTCCACCCTCCCTCCCTCATCTCCTCCTATGCCCCTCTCCAAGTCCACTGATAGGGGAGGTCCTCCTCCCCTTCCATCTGACCCTAGCCTATCAGGTCTCATCAGGACTGGGTGCATTAACAGAGTCAACTTTAGACTTTTTTTCTAATAAGAAAGTCATAAATAATTTCTTGCTTAGGAATACTTCCATTTCTACATGTAGAAAAGTTCTTAGTTTTTTAAAAAATTATATATTACATGTTTGTTAAAAAAGAAAGAACAAAACAATCTCTTATTAGTCATCTGGAGCATGTTCTCTTATTTGTAATACTGAAGTTAAAATTCCTTTTTGCTGAGTTGGTGAGGTGTCTGAGCAGGAAAAGGAACAGTTCTTGCCTTTAAGGTCTAAAGATCTGAATTCAGGTCCTAGAACCCATGGTGGAAGGAGAGAGTGAACCCTGAAAGTTGTACTCTGACCTCCGCGTGTGTGCTCTGACCTCCGCGTGGGTGATGGTTCATGTGCATGTGCAAGAGCACACACAGTCACACACAAATACACAATAATACATTTAAAAATAAATTCTTCTTCTCTAATGTCAGTTATAGGAGGGGTCCCTAATTTTGGTCTTTGTTTTACTTGTGCCTGGCACATTAATTATAACTTATTTCTTTGTAGTTAAGTAGCAGAATTAATATGAAAATGAGAAAATTATCTTGGATAGGTGTGTTCATTTAAAAAGAACTACACATAGACTCGTTCCCTTTTTAAAAATACTTAGATATTTTGCCTTGGAGTTATTCCCAACCAGATACCCCAGTTGATTGTGGGTGGTGGCTCCAGCAGCAGATCCGGGAGCCTTGCTGCTTTCTGGACACTGCCTACGGAACCTGGTGTCGGCAAGGGCGAGGCACTTAGCTCTTTTGTGCAGCAGCCCATGCACAGATCCTGCATGTGGGTTCCAGTGCTCTGCTGGGGTTCAGAACATCCCTTGGCAGGTTAATGTTGAAGGATGGACCATATCTAGAAGTTCACTGGGGCAGCGCCCCTTCACAGTGTTTCTCACCTGAGGACTAAAGGTCACGCCTGAGGTTTGCTAAGTGACAGGATTAGCTGATAGTGTACAGTTTGTCCTGTGGTCTCAGTTGCTGTGCACAGTGAGCCAGAGGGTCACGTCATCCTGAGTCTAAGGTAAACTTGGGCAACTTACTGAGAACTCAGCTTTGCCATCTCCCTGTGCCAAAAAGTAGAAAACATTGACTTATGCTAATTTTGTTTTACCTTTATCAAAAAGATTCTAATAAAGCAAGTTTAAAAAGAACCTCAACGATGTAGTTAGTGGCAGATTGAGTTCTAAAGATGTGATTTTCTAATTTCTTTACTTTTTATATCCTAGATGGACCTTGTGTCTGTAATTTTCATTGTATTTTAAGGCTCAAGAATCTGCTTTGCTGGTGGAGAAGTTTTTGTGTACTTTGAAAGGTCATTTGAGTGGGGGTGCTTGAAGGACTGGAGAATGGAGGAAGAAGTAAACCAGATCTATCTTGGAACTTTTCCAGCTCGGTGCTACCGGCCCTATTCCTCAACAGCATTCTGATAACTTCTTTCAGGAGGCCGTGCCCTTGTAGTGATCTATAATTGTTGGTGAAGATGTATAGGTAATATGAAAAAAGAACAGATAGAAAAGAAAATAAGAGATTCCTGTGTGGTCTTTTGTCTTCATGTCTATAAAAGTGTAAGTTTCCTCTTAAAAATATTCTTCAAAAGAAGCCCTGGTCTTGATATGTACTTGGTATTCCATCTGCTGTGAGGTCAAGGATTTTAAATTGCAGAAGCAAAAATTATTTGCAAAAATGACTACTTCTTTATGTCATGTGTAGTTATCAACTTTTGCACGTAGTTCATGGATTAATATTCTTTCACCTGCTTCTTGTACCCAGCCTCTCCTGCTGCTCCTTCTCAATACATTCTACTTGGGTTTTAGAGAGGATAAGAGACACAGTTTTCCTTTCAAAATATAATTTCTACATAGTGAACATACCTTTTCTTTTTCTGAGTACAGATATTTATCTTTCAAATAGAAGTAATAATGGCAAAACTGTAACTTAAAGTGACATTGCTTTAAATGTCACTCTAGCTTTAAAGTTGTATACATTAAACAACAACAACAAAAACCCCCAAAATCATTGTCCTCCAAAGGCTCTGGAAGTTTTTATAGTGTGAGCCCGTTCATGTGTGTGTATGTGAGTGCAGGTGTGCACATGCCATGACGTGTATGGGGGTAAAAAGACAGCTCTCTCCTGCCACCTTGTGGGACCGAAAGGTCAGGCTCAGGTTGTTGGCCTGTGTGCAAGCACCCTGCCCTGCTGAGCAGGCTTGCAGCTGTTTTTGTACATAGTTTGGAATATTGCCATAGTCTGTAACTAAAGTTGAAAGACAGAAACATGTACCTTTTGTCTGTAGCTCCTGTTTTGCTGTAATTGAATAGTGAATGTGGAGGCAAGATAGGTCACTGTAACACTTAAAATATTCCATGGCTGAGGAATGTCTAATCAAAGCTGATTGGTTGAAGCACGTTTAGACTGTTGAGCTGTTCAACCAGGGGAGTTTATAGTCTTTTTTTTTTTGTGTGTGTGGCACACGTGGAATTTTTATATAAAATATATGCTTCTTGTCCTTTTGAAGAGCCGTCTGGGAAAGCATTAAAAACAATCTCTAGCCAGGCACTGGGATGCATGCCTATGATCCCAGCACTCAGGGAGGCAGGTGGATCTGAGTTTGAGGCCAATCTGGTCTACGGAGTGAGTCTAGAACAGCCAAGGCTACACAGAGAAACCCTGTCTTGAAAAACAGAACAACAACAAACAAGGATTTTTAGATATGATTTTAACCATACCCATAGGGTATTGGATAATGATTATCTATAGATCCCAAGTAACATGCTGACGTAACTTGCCCATTATACGTAGAACAAATAATAAACTTGAATTTTATTAAGTGGCACAATGATTTATATAGGCTTTCTACCAGTAAGTTGTGGAAGTCATGACCTTCCACTATTATTAAGTCTCTAATTTCTTGCAAATAATTTTAGCAAGGCAGTGGTGGCACACGCCTTTAATCCCAGCACGTGGGAGGCAGAAGCAGGGGGATCTCTGTGAGTTCAAGGCCAGCCTAGGGTATAGAGTGAGTCCAGGACACCCCCCCCCCAAACAAACAAACAAACAAAAAACAAAACCCAAACACTAAATATTTTTTTAAAAAGGAGTTACAGTTCATTTTGAAGAATAATGACATGTATACGTTTTTATAATACTTTGTTGATACATAATTCCAGTAAGTGCTAAGGAGGAAGGAAAGATAAGCAATTGATAAGGAAGTGAGGAATTAATTCTGTGAGCTATCACTTTGGCAGCAGCATTATAACCTGCCTGTCAACGATCAGCTGACCTGTGTAGGTCTGGTCTGCTGGACCTGGGGATCTGAGGACCTGAAAGAATGGGATGGACTCCAGTTTAATGCTGTAGACACAGTGTAACAAAGCAGTGATTCAAGGAAGGTTCTATAGTGTAGAAAGACATGATCAGAAATGCCAATAAGCATGCATTAAATAGTAACAGAGCAACCCTTTCCCAGAAATTTCTCTGGACAGACCA